ACATTTAGCGGATATTATGCAATACGAAATTGAACATTTATTTTATTGAACAGAATCGAGTAGTGAAATGTAAACAAGAGGTGAAGTAATGTATGCTGATATATACGGCCTCAGTTGTCTGTAGAATAAACGTGGCAATGTCTAATCAATTGCTATTAGGCGAGTCGAATGAACTTCGAACTAAGGTCATTTGTTCTAATATAACGGTGCACCTTACCGAAATACAGAAATATATAACGCCAGTATTTGTTAAGGTCACATTATGTCAGAAGTTATGCAGTGTGAATTTCTAATCTGAATACCAACAAAGAGGGTTAAGGCATACTCTATATTTAAGGAAACAGCTTTATATTCTACCGAGACAAGAAGAGAATTATAAAAAAACCCGATGAGTCAGAGGGAAAGCCGCATCTAAGAGAGGTCAGAATAATCAGGGGTCAGAAGGGAACCAAAGCGCATGCATTAGAAGTGAAAGATGACAAAGGAAGACAGATGTCAGGTGAGCTGTCAAGAGAGGAACTATATTCATCAATTCGTCACTCGTAACATCATGTAAATTGAACACTGCGCCTAACTTATATCAATGTAAATATGTTGGTTTGAAAGGTAAAATGTCGGTTATGTAGTAATTGATGAAAGTTATGTTTATTTGTTAGTAAAGGAGGCTCGTGGTTGTTTTGCCCTTTCCGTAATTGGAATTTGCCCAAAATCCTTTCAGAAGCTCAAATTTGGTGACGTACTTGGCATTTCCAATATTATCAATACAATGCTCTTCAAAAACAAATACAATATGGAAACAAGGATTAAAATTTATGGTGAAATTTCAAATAGTAATTTATGGTCGATTGTATTATTGTGATCTAACAAAACAATGTTGACACATTACCACTAAATGTGCCAACACAGGTACACCAAAACGCACAGCGTTGAATTTCCATTAAAATGTATTCAGAAGTTTGATCATTATGCCTTGTGTCTGTAATGCTTGGATTTCATTGGATTTAATTTGCAATATCGTAACTAACTTCTTTTAACATTTATGATCTTTTATTCTGATTTTGACAAAGCTTGATTCTTCTCACTCTTTTTCTATTGTTTCAAGACGGTAGAATCGTAATACAAAATGAAAGCCCGATTTATAGATCATCTTCAAGAACAATTGTGATGCGAGTTAAAATTCTACTTAAAAGCTATATCACTAAATTTAATCAGGAGTTATTTTTCTAGAAGATGTGTACCAGTTGCTGTAAAGTATTACTGGCTTACTGTACTGTTTTGGTAACATATATTAACAAGTCATATAAGCACATCCACTGAGAGTTTACAAGTTATGTGCTGAAAACATTCTATAACATTACAAAGTCAACAGTTAGTTTTTATAGTTCTTTTTAGGCATTTCTTAATGGAGCTTAATATAATGTGTTTTATTATTTATTCATTATTGTTAATGGTAAAGTTTCATTTTTATAAACACGTTACATATTTTGACCTTGTATGGTGTATAAGCGATCTTGATACATTTGATAGGATTTGAGTTTAGGTCATTGGTGACTCCCTGAGGAAAATCAGATTCCCTGATTTTTCATTGATTGTTTGTTAAAACACATAACTGTTGAAAAGTTTGAATGCTCTGGACTGAACGTACGACGCTTATCCTGGTTCTTAAATTATGCATTATTTTTTATACATGCAGTGAGTTACAAAATTAATTATTCCTGTTTAAAACAACTGTTGTAGAGAAAGTCATTCAATTATGTTCAATTATTATTCGATGTGATTTATTTGCTTCAATTATTCATTTGAATCACATAATAAACATAGACTTTAAGACTAAATAACTATTTTGGGATTAATGTTATTTTATTTAAAGAAACAGAGTATATAAAAGTGATACATATAGACTGTTAGCATATTAGCATTATCCAAGGCATTCATTACATTCAATTGGATTTTACCTGGAGCACCAATTTTTTTCATTTAGAATACACTATTTTTGGACTTAAAATAAAACTTTTAAAACTGTTTTGAGTTCATTCATATCACTCAATGTTTTTAAATTTTTCACTTTGCATTCTAGGGAAATAAATTATTTGTTGAATTTTTCTAATATCTCATGGTCATTTCTTTTTCTGTTACTTAGTTTAAGACCATGTAGTGGTAAAAGATAAAGCATTGAGAGAAGGCAAAGAAGAATGATATGGAGGTTTAAATACCATACAAAAGGCAGATATATTTCTTAAATAAAGAAAAGTCTTTGCAAATGGGATATTGCCACTTTGGCGATTGTAGGTTGGCTGTATCATTTATCTCCCAATGATATATTCCAGTAATTGACTGTAAAATGTATAATGTTTACAGATTCATGTTCGTGTTCATAAAATCCTTACATGCGCTTCTACATATTCATGTTCCTGTTCATGTAATTCTTGCAATCTCTTTATGTCTACAGATTCATGTTCCTGTTTATATAATTCTTGCATGCTCTTAATGTCCACATATTAATTTGCCTCTTTTGCAATCGTTGTATGCTCTTTATGCATACATATTCGCGTTACTGTTTATGTAATCGTTGTATGCTCTTTATGTGCATTTGTTCCTGTTCATGCAATCCTTGCATGTTCTTTAGGTCTATAGATTCATATTCCTGTTCATATACTCCTTGCATGCTCTTCATATCTAGAGATTCTTGTTCCTGTTTGGGCAATCATTGTATGCTCTTTATGTTCCTGTTCAATAAATCCTTGTTCCTCCAAATCCATACACTTCAAAATGAAACAACGATGATTGAGTAAGAAAATATATTAATGAACTAAAGAACCCATTTTGATAGCTCTTAATCTGACAATCCATTCATTAATCAATACATCCAATGTACCTTTACATCCAATCATGTATGTATTTTCTTCTGCTTGCATTGGAACTGTAGAAGGGTGACTGAGCTTATCAATGTGGCGCTTGAACACAGATGGAAAAGAAAATAAAGCCAACGTTAATTATGCTTTAAAACTAGTTCTTTTCAAATTGAATTTATTTTTGAATGCAATGTAATTAGTATATGTTTGTGATAATGAGGAAGATATAAACATGCAAGTATTGCATTGATATAAACAACACACTTACATTGTGTTATAGTTACGAAGATCTTCATAAGATAGAGTTGAACTCACACTATAATGGAAAAGCCACAATAATGTAAATGCAGAATAGAAGCAAAGCAAAATAAACGATAAAGGGCTTAATATCAGTCTTTTTCAAATAACTTATAAAACCATTGACTAAATGGTAAAAGAGAGCACTTGATTTCTCTTTCATGCATATCATTATGATAGCAAAATTAATAATCTTTCTTATTTGAAAGCATTCTTAGTTCTTATATCCTTTCTATGATATAACTCACGGGTCGGTATTAATCAATAGTTTGTCCACATACAAACGAAGAATGGATTGCAGTGACAAATTCATAAATTCATAATTTACAAACATAGTATCGATCCAGTCAAAGGCGGCATATTTTATAATGTCATTACTTTGACAAATGCTTAATAGAAAGAGAATCATTATCCGAGCAATGACGAGACGATGTGATACACATCTGAGCAAAGACGAGTTGATGAGATACACATCCGAGTAAAGACGAGCAGATGTGATAAACATACGAGTAAAGACGAGTGAATGTGATACACATCCGAAATCAACTGATCCATAGTGACCAAAATTACAATAGCCGATAAGTTTTCAAAGGTTTCAAATTATTAAAGTATCGATGTTTATTTTCGAATGCAGACTTTTATGTGTCTGCAATTCATGTCTATATTATGCAATTATGTCTGGAAACCTTAATCTTCCTTGGATGAAAATGGATCGTTCCTTATATAGCTCCAGACAAATGCATTCCTTTCGCATTGTTATAATCAACGTATAAAATATTTAACTTCAGAGGCAAATAAGACTGTCTGCCAGTTTCACTATTAAATTAAGAATAATTACATAAAATATTTGATACAATAGGGGTAAGTGCGTGGTAGCGTCAAAATATGTTATTAAAAGTACGCGTTATCATCATAAAGGTGAAAAAGTAATATCAATTAAATTTAAACAGTACCTAAATTTGTATATAATTGTTTATTCTCCTACTTTCAGTGATAATTTAATGTAATCTTTGCATTTTATAATTGACATCTTTATTTATTCACCTACCATTATCTTTCCAATGCCATATTATAATTATAGTCTTGAGGGAAGAGTCATTCAGTGCTGATGGTTGTAAGATAACCGAGCACATGCTGTGACAGCCTGCTTCTTTGCAAACTCCGAATCATGTTTAAGTGTCATTTAAGCATTAAAATTCGATATTAATCGACTAGATTAGTCTATAACAGTCTTGCTGATTACTCTATCAAGGATAGCAAGAAACAAAATAGCATTTTTGTATTGGTAAGCACAGGCGGGTTCTAAAGACGTCGCTGTAAGAAATGATAGAGTATCGGAACCACGACAGTAAAAGTCACGGGAAGATACTAAATTACAAGTAAAAGAGTACGTTTTCCCCATTGATATGAAATTGCCTACAACCAGTATCGAAAAATACACTATAAAATTATACTTGGCTTTCTTGCACTATCGGACACATATTTTTCATGATGACTAATGCTGGTAAAGATACAAAAGATTTCATTATTATCAATATTGGGATAGGCTTCTTGAATTTATATGTCAACGGAAATTAGGTCTTTAAATTTGCCTGAAGAAATGATTGTGTTTGCATGTGTGTGTGATTTGTTGTTCTTTTAACTATAGCTTTAAAAGTTTTCTGTTATATCGTTATCATATCTGCAGAGTGGCAATTTTTACTGATGTTTAGAATTGATACATCATACCGCAGACACATAGCATCATGTCTCACCTAGTCTCATTATCCTGACACCAGGCTGACAAGTCCTAACACTAACATATTAATACTGAGCACCAGGCAGCTGCGAGCGATTTTTATATCTTTAGTATGTCTCAAGGTTCTAACCCGCGACCTCCCGCATCCGAGGCGGACGCTCTAACCACTTAGGCCACCGAAACGGTGCGTGAAATAATGTAATACATATATCGGTTTGAAGCAATTAGTAATTAATTTCATAATCACCATTATCGCATAGTCGATACACGTTGCATATAGTGTGTGCAGTTTAATATGTTTGATATTATATATCGCTTTATATGATTTTGAATGGTCCAAATAAACCCATTAAATTTTTGTACAGTAATCTTTTTACTGATTGGCTGTGATCGTGGGAAAACTTTTTTAACCCCATCGTCTAGAATTTTTTGTCTTCTTTGAACATTTTTTGCCGTCATTACTTTTATTCGCCTCGCGAAAGGGAATAGGGAAAATTGGTCACGTCTGTTTCAGTATTACCAATTTATCCAAACAGTGGCTTGTTATGTCATAACTTATCATTACATGAAAAATGAAGAAAAAATACCAAGACAAGAACAATAACAACAAGTAAAAATACATATATTGTATCGATGGTAGCGAGGGGTAAGGGGAGTGGGGATGGATTAGCGGTATATCTGTAGCGTGGAATGACCCTGTATATAGGCTTTGTTTAAATGAGAACTTACTGAAGAAAATAAACTCACCTTTGTCACCGAAGAAAGTCGACAAAAACCGGTCTCCGAACTGACAGAACTTTATTCAACTACCTTAATACATAAAATAATTGTATGTAATATATGACGATTGTATTTAACAGGCTTGATGCAAGGCTTTTATATCAAATGTATCTATCAAAAGGAGAATAATGTACTCTAAGTTTACAATGACCTCATGAATTCCTCATTTTGATGTATATTTTGTAAGGCAGTAACAAGAAATAGCTGAAGCAAAACATATTTTGGTTCTAACCATCAACAGGTATAAATAATCTGAGAGAAAAAATAATTAAATCATTATAATAATAGCCCCCCGTGTTTGTTTGTGTCTGTACGTATGTATAAAACCAATCTTGAAATATTCTTTGAACGCCACACATTTGTCTATAAATAAATATTATCCATCCGTTGGAAATAAGAGACAAATATTTAAACAAAGTCTTGATTTGAACAGTGTTTATGCGCTGAAACCTTGCAGAGACTTCAGCTGAGCGTGGGTCTAGGTTGAACAGGATGTTATTTAAAGGATTTTTAATTTCATACCATATATATATATATATATATATATAGGTTGAACAGGATGTTATTTAAAGGATTTTTAATTTCATACCATATATATATATATATATATATATATATATATATATATAAAACCCATAAAAGATATATATATACATACATACACATATATATATATATATATATATATATATATATATATATATATATATATATATATATATATATATATATATGCAATAAACTGACGACGAACAGTACGAAACTAGTAACTAACTAGCCTAAGTGCTTTCGACTCTTAATGAGTCTTTTTCAAAGGCAAATACAAAACATAGTTACGACAAACAAATAAACACAAAAACGTTGTGTTTGTAAACCTCTACATTTCTATCTTCACATGTGCTAAAACTATAAATACAACCAGCTTGTATAGACTAGTTGCGGAAACTGAAAACGTTGTATAATTCCCTAAAAGTCTACAAGCCAAAGCGACATCTATTTTTACTTTGTGTACATATGTAACGCAGATTATATCCCGGATATTTGATTCTATACCGGTTATTCTTATAGTAAAAATTGAAGGATAATAAGAAGATTTAGAAAATGTTAAATTCTACTAGTGCATAGTTTTCATTTTCTAGTCTTCTTGGTTTAGACCGCTTGGTTTGAATGTTCTAAGGCGGCGTATCCAGTATGATTCCTTTTCCTTCCTGGTTTCGGAACTCCAGCTGTGGTTGTTAGCAATAGCGATAAGTATTATATCACTGAAAGTGTGGCCAGGGGAGGAGAAGTGTTCTGCGACCGGGCTTCTGTACAGCTTTAATGTCATCCAATCAGATCTATGAAGGTTTATCCTTATGTGTAGCTTTTCAGTTTCTCTCACGTACTGAAGGCCACAGATCTTACATGTGATGAGATAAATCACATTCTCTGTTTTGCACGTTTTGTTTGGACCATGTATGTTTAGTTTTTCTTTAGTCACTGTGCTAGTGAATGTCTTGGTCTCTATTATATGTTGACAGGTTTTGCATCTTTTATCGCCACAGGGTCCAGATTGACTAGGATGGTTTTGACTAGCGATTGTTGTTAGCTTGGCCCTGACTAGGATGTCCTTTAGGTTTTTTGGTCTCCGGTAATCTACTACAGGTTTGTTCGGAAGTATTTACTTTGGTAATTAGCTAAACTGATAAGAATTAAATTAGGAAAATATGACATTTCCATACTTAGTGTTCAGTATTCTAACGAGATTTTCATTCTGAGAACTACTATGAAAGACACAAAGAAACTTTTCACAAAATGAAATGTGGATTGAGAACCTTATCATATAAAGCAATTATATAATAACTCATAAAAACGAAGACTAATTCAGGAACAGAACTTACAAAACATAACTTCATAATATTCAGTTTCTAAGAGCTGCTTCTGCATCTATAGGAGATTCATTCAGCATTGGACGATAAACACGTGGCCGTTCAGTAGAATAGATTGAAGTGTTGTCAAAGCTTGATAAGATTTATGAGGTTGTATTGTCTGCAGGCTAGAAATTAAGTTTGTCTATTTCTATTTAAATATAGTTAAGATATTAAATGACATTGACACTAATGTTATAAGGATAACAATGAAAGAATACAGAACGTCTGCTTGTAGATTCTTTAAATGCTAAGGGTAATAAACAGAGGACAGTATACGACTATGCAATTCAGGAATCTCTCTCTCTCTCTCTCTCTCTCTCTCTCTCTCTCTCTCTCTCTCTCTATTGTTTTTATCTATTTTGAAATTCATTGAAAAAGACTCCATTAAAGTCAGAAGCATATTGATCAGTATTGTCTATTCGTTGTCAGAGATTAATTATTGTATGAAGTGTTCTTGAGTTCCAGATGCTAACATATCACTATAAGTTACATCGCGAAGACAAGCAACAATTAGAAATAGTGTTTGGAAAAATCACTTGTCTGATTTTATGAAAAAAGAGATTGTAGGGAATCTCAGCATAATAAATGAAACAAATTTTTTATTTGTATTCAATTTACTTTTGAGAATAAGTGAATGCAATAGTCGCCATTGAGAAATGTGTATATGTATTCACAACATAAAGCCTTTTGCGATTTTCAGGCAGAGCAGCAGAGAGGTTGAACAGACAACTTTGCTTGAGATGTTTTTTGTTTTTTAAAAATAAAGGTTCCTGCAGAGGCTGAGAAAAAAACGTCAACAACGCTAAACCAAAGTCTCTTTCCACACGATTATATATTTAATCGTCTAATAAAATCTTTGGTTAGCTTATTTTTGTTACTTATTTTTATGATTTTGTCAGGCGATTTTGTTTACGAGTAAAGTGACTCAATTGTTGTCCTTTATCTTCTCTGCTTCTATGAATTAAACAGCCATTATAAATATTATTAATTAATGCGTATTGGAGAACCACACTCAGCTAAATTAGCTCGAAAACGACTAGGGGCAATTAAAAAATATCTACATGTTCGTGATTCTGTTAAGCAACAACTACAATTGCGTCAAGAAATCTCAAGTTGAATTTGAGGATAATACAAAACAATTATTTAAACCTATCACTGAGACCACTAAAGATATTCAACCTGTGTTAGATAAAACAGCTGAAGCAACTGAAAAAATAGCAAAAAGTACTAAGAAAACAAAAAAGATTTTGAAGAACTTCCAGCCGAAATAGCTGCTGCGGTGCCAGTCATGGAAATACCTGAGGATGCAGACCAAGCAGAAAAAGGTGCTGTAGCACTAATAAAACCAGCAGTTGAACTGATAGATAAAATTGATGAAAATTTTATTAAGTCAATTAAGAACTTGAAAAAACGTTATCAATTAGCTAAACTTGCTGTGGATAGTTTTAGTCGAAGAGGTGAATTAATGAAACCTGGACACGAAAAAGATATTTAAACCCGTGAACAGTGCAAAAAGTATTATATTGCATATACATGAATGTTAAACAAGCTAAAGCTGATGATCAATCATATCAGAATTATGCTAAGGCAATTGATAATTTAATAAAATCAAGAAGAGAGGAGATAAAACATCTAAAACACAGAAATCATTTGAACAATCATCTAGTGATTATTCAGAATTAACACCATCACCACAACTTAGATCACCACCAATAGATAAACCAGTACCACAACAATCTAAACAACCATCACCACATCAAGCACAACGACAAGTTGAACAAAAGCTACAACAACTAAAGCAAGAACGACAACAGGAAAAACTACCACCGAAACCAACTGAAGAGGAAGATGAAGAATTTCAAGACCCTCCTGGTGCAACTGGAAGTTGTCTAGGAAGTGGCCTTATTACTTGTCCCAATAATGTCCTTGCTGATGTTGATCTATTAGAAATCCTCATTGGAGGAAAACGATCTGGTAATGATTCATCAGAAATCATTAATGAAGCAGCAGATATTTGTAATCGATTATTTAGTGGCAGTATTATGACATTGATGTGTATCGATCACTCATTAATGAAATCGTCGATGACTACTACAGTGACTAAGTCTCAGTTATTCGATACAATTAGTAATACAGTCAATTAATAATAAAATGATTGAGCATGGTGCTCAACGTGGACCTACCATGGTTAGGGTAATAAACTCTCGATTACCAGTATACAAAGCAACCTACAGAGATGGACCAGGTGATATTGTTTAGGGTCTATTTAGAAGAATAGCCCCAAAAGCAATACAAATTGCAAAGCAGCTGGGTATGAAAGCTATTGATGTTGTTCGTGAAAAAGGTATAGACGCTACTGATAACCTTGCTAGCAAAGCATTCTCAGCGATCAAAGATAGACTAACGCGATTAGTACGCAAACCACAACAGGTCCGACCTCAACCAGTGAAATTGCCCATCAATGATGTGATGCCCGCAAGTGTAAGTAAAAAA